TTTTACATCCTTGTCATCATAGCTCTCTGCTACCTGCCCGACTGGTAGTAAAGTTTCAAGTTGCTGCTTTTGACCTCAATATCCACACCCCTCAGAGGCACAGTCCCAGAGCACCTCACAGCATGACAGTGGCCAATAGCCCTCCTGGGAAACAGGAAAATTGAGGATGCTCTTCACCATGAACTGACCATGATTCTGTATCTCTCATCCTCTTCAGAGGTCAAATATGGTAATTTTCAAGGGTGCAGGAATATACTATTCCTCTTTCATGCTCCAAATCAGATGGGTAGGAAATAGGGTGATTTAATCTGTGCCTATAGAACACTGAAGTCATAAATACTACAGCTGGTGGTGGTACTGGGAATGTCTCCAGTAGCAGTTCTTTCTCATGGATTTTACAAACTGGAATTTTAATTTCTTGTGTGTTCCTCTAAGAACTCTTGCTTGTCTTTCCAGTTTTGTTTGAACATTTTCTGAGATATCATCTGGTTTCTCCTGGTTATTTCCTTTCTCTGGTGATATGATTATTAAGTCAGACAAGCACATTTCTTTTGTTACTGTGAACTTAATGCTCTCTAGAAGAGATTACTGCCTCATTTTTTGTCTGCTCTGCAGTCTGTTCCTTCCCTTACTAAAGCTTGACATATTTTTTGAAAGCCTCATACCTGACTCAGGTGCTTCAATCAACACTAACAAGCTCATATCTCAAGAGGATTTTAGCTTTATTTAATAACATGCTGTATTAACAGAATTTGCTTATTGTCAACTTACTTTGCCAAGCAGCCCTTTATCTTTGGACAAGAATCCACCACTGTTCTTCACTGCTACATCTAGTGTTCTTCTCTGTACTTCAGGCAGGGAAACACTGAAATCAAACCTGGCAGGCAAAGTGATGCTTTAGAGGGAATTCTGTACCCAAGGTGCAAGGTCAGCTCCTACAGCTAAATAGCAATTCAAATCAAAACCAAGCCATCCTCCTCCCCAGATAAAAAAATGAAGTCTGAGACAAATGAAGAAAAAAAGCCCAATGTTTTGCCTAAAATTTTGCTTCAATATCAACATCAAATGTTTGAGACTTCTGTTACTTTTGATATCTAGAAGGCATTGGTAAAACAAAACAAGGGAAAAGTCAAGTACTGATCCCAGAGAGAAGAGAATGTGGAATCCTACTACACTGACAGCTCAGTATCAGTATTCTCCAAAAGGGAAAGACTGGTCAGTCTTACTGATCTTTGATACTTGATAACCAGAGCTTCTTTTCTTCTCTGGCACACTAAGGAAACACATCCACTTTTAAGGAAGAATGTAATTGCTAGAGCAGAAACTTTGAGAAAGTGAGGACAAGGTTATACCACAACCTACATCTATTTGTCACTGCAATTCCTAAACAGCTTTATTGCTTTGCAATACATTTTACTTGGAAAGGCACAGTAAAATAAATCTATTACCTGGAATGAACAGGAGATAGCATCCTGCACTACCAGGAAAACCTACCAGAGCCTCTAAGTAATGACTTACAGATCTCCCTCGGACAGAAGGGATTGAAGTGTTGCTTTCCCTGGGTTAATTTTCTGTCTATAGAGAAAGGTCTTAATTGAAAAGTGATAGGTGGGAAACTAAGGGGCAGATGTGTGAGGGAAACTACTATCAAAAAGCAGAGTTTAAGGATAAGTCTTTTTCTGCATTATAATGTTGCACAACCTCATAAAATTTTCAACATATGGGCC